CTACATCCGATCGTCACTCTGTGAAATAAACAAGAAGTTTTCAATCATTAAGTTGTATGTCTCAAATCAAACATAAGGACAAATACCATGTCCTTTTACGATAGATCTCATGTCTAAAATTATGATATGTGACAGTTTCATGAAATTTTGGGGTTGTTTTTTTCAGAAGCAGTTCGACAAACGTGTCAGCAGCGACAGCCAAAAAGACCTAAGACAAGAATATTTTCAAGAAATACAATTAGGTTCAAATAACAATGAAAAAAAGAATTAAATAGTTCACTTGATTAACTTGTTGTGTTGTTTATATATGTTTCTGATTGCAGAGGTCAGGAAAGAGCTGAATGTTGAAATAAGTTGTGCCAACATAAGGAAATATGGGCCATGGTTGTACAAAGGTCAAGAAAGAGCTAAATGTTGTAACATGGAGGTGCCAACGTAAGGCCAACAAAATCACATCGTTAGGCCAACTATGGGCCATGGTTTTGTTTGAATTTTCATTCGTTGGCCCAACAATGAGCCAACATGATGGGCCACTGTGGAGCCGATGAGCATATCCAAGTGGGTCCATCGTCAGTTTGACAACCATGGCCAACCAAACCGGTGATTATGGGCCAACTATGGGCCAACATATCAATGCTATCTGGGAAGCTATTTTTCCCATGTAAGTCCGATAGGTTGCAAAGCTTTAGATTTATAGTATTTGAGGTATTTTAGGGCAGATTTAGATTTTTTCATTTTAGCAAAAATCATGTGTAAGCCCGGGATTATTTTTATAATAGTAGCTACACCAATTTACACTTGTCAGAGCTATACACATGTGGTCTAAACTCCCAATTGTCAGACTTACATTTTTGTGGAAGATATGGTGGTTCAAGTAGGTTAGATCTCTGACTATCCTGGATGGGAATCAACCACAAAAAGTTCTAGAATATGTACTTTACAAATGGTTGTGGTGGTGTATCTGACCTCTTTCTGAAAGGAATTGTGTATTGAGGCTAAGTTTTGACCATAGGAGCTGTGCCAAATATAGCATGTGTTAAATCATCTATTGGTGGCAATGTTTAGCAAGTAATGTAAGTAACAATGTAGCCTTGCTCCAAAGCTGTACTGAATGCTGAGCCCATGGATGTACAGTAATTCTATCCTTCGACTGACTGACTGACTGAGTTTGGTTTTACGCCGCTTTTAGCAATATTCCAGCAACATCATGGCGGGGACATCAGAACCGGGCTTCACACATTGTACCCATGTGGGGATTCGAACCCGGGTTTTCGGCGTGACGAGCCAACGCTTTAACCACTAGGCTACCCCACTGCCCCTATATCCTTCGAAGAGGCAAGTCTAGATATTAACAGGTAAGATGGAGCCAGATCAAGGTAACACTTGTAAGCAGTCAGAAGAATTTTGAAGCCTATGCAAGGAGCTACATGGAACCAATGGAGGTCTTTCAGTAACGGCATTACAGTCAAACCCCATTGTGTTGAACTCGTCTGGACCAAGGGAAAAGTTCGACTTATCCGAGTGTTCAACACATCTGTCATCGTAGAAATGATGACAGTTATAAGGAAATTGGCAGGGACCGAGAGATGAGTTCGACACAACCGAGAATTCATCTCAACTGAGTTCGAGACACTCGGGTTCGACTGTACAATAGATTGTAGGGCTTTGTTTCACTGAGTGATCTTAGCACTGAGATCATAACTCCCATAATTTAACATAGCCTTATGACTGTTACAGCCTTAACATCACAGTGTGGAACAGGACCCTGGGCTTCTATTCTAACCTCATGGATGGTTGCCTGCATAATTTTTTCAAAAGTAATTTAGAGACTACATCTCCCTACATACCTCCTCACTACAAGGAAGTGGCGAGATTTATGGTCACCTCCCAGGTGGTACATTTTCTGAGAACCTTGCTGATTAGTCAGTTTCAGAAGCAGCCAGTGATAATCACTTGATGTGGCTGATGATTATACTGGGGGCATTATTTGTATCTGTCTTCCCACTGGGCCAATCTGTCTCTACTAACACTGACTCTCTGATATCAAACTATTAAATTTACTTTGGATATTCAATAGAAAGGAGACCAGATATGTGTTGTATGTGTGTAGTGTGTGATGCGTGGTGTGTAGCATGTGGTGTGTAACGTGTGGTGTGTGTTGTATCATGTGAGATGGGTTCTGTTTGTGGTGTCCGATGTTCAGTGTGTTACATTGTGACTGTTTGATGTGAGTAAAATAGTCTAGTAATACATAACAGAAAGGACCCTAGAGACTATTCATTTTCAAAGTACCGGTACTCAAGACTTGTGAAGGAGTTTGGGGATACTTCTATTTCAGGGACTGACTTCTGGGCCACACTCATCATCATGGAACCATAAAACAAACACAATATAAGAACTTGTCTAATGGAACCAAGTTCAAGATGAAAAATAACACTGAAATTCAGATTCCAAATTCCTGTTGTATACCTCCTTTATTCAAAGTGTGGAATTTACCTAGTTACTACTGCAAGTCACTTAAAGGATACCTTGTAATAAGTGACAAGGTAAAGCTCCACTGAAAGTGTATGTCAGCTATATCACAGTGTGTAAGTTCTGTGTGAAAAAATAGCCTAAAGTTGTGTCGGTCTGGGACATTTACCACAACGGTATATAAAAACCAATGAGAGTAGGCATGGAGCTGACAAACCTTAAACAAAATCAGGACCACCTGTGATTCGAACCATGCTTACTGGAATGCCATTCTGCAGAGTAAATGACGCATCGCTATATATAAGCATAGAGCATAGCTGTTAAGACATTCCTACTGTAACTGTGGCTTGTAAACTTGAGTTGCTTCTCCGCCCAGTTTTTTCACGTTTCCCTCAGATCAAACAATGAAGGACCAAGCCAGTGCACATGCATGGCAATTAAGGAGTGTAGATTAATCTTGGAATCTCCATGAAATATTCACATTGAATAGATTGCCAGGAACTTCACATGCAAGCTAGGCATCAGAATTACTTACAGAGAGTTGCAAGTAGACAGGCAATGAATTATTCATGTAACTGTGGTTGAGATTCAGGTCAGTTTCTCGCTTACTGCAAGGTGTTATATGGGACGAAGTTTGACTCATAAAGAGTCAAGTGGCACTTCTATCACCATGTTTGGGTGTAAATGGTAGTTGAAGACATGCAATCAATAATTTATGTTTTTCAATGTCATAAAGATGCATAATGCCGTTTGGAGGAGGTCACCATCCACGTATTGCCTTGTCGCTTGTCCTCTTTTACAAAGCACTGACATAATCAATTCCTTTAATGAGTTCAATATCAACACATTCAGTCATAGACTTTTAAAATCAAAATATGCTGCTGTTTATCAGTTCATATATTCCATACACAAATAAAGGAAATATTTGAAACTTTTAATGTAAAATAATTAAAAGTGAGTTCTATTAAAAAGGATCAACCTCATTTACACTTCTTTTCAAATGCAATCCAACTCTACCAAACTTCAATTGTGCTTTTATCAAATTTATGTAAACAATACATCAGGTTAATATATTCAAACTTATATTGAAGCAACCTAAATCCAAAATCAATTCCAAATAATTAATCATGTAAAATACCACTTGGTTTATTTGATACAGAGTTATTATTTGTGTTTCCATGAATTATAAACACAATGTAAAAGATCTATCATGAAATGCACTAATGGTGACAAGATGCTAAGAGTTGTCTCCCTTGTCATCATATTTCCCATATAAACAAGAAGAAAGACTAAGTAACCTGGAGGAGGGAATTTTCAGAGGTTTATGCTACTTTAATTGAGGGACATCGCAGAAGGTCATCACACACTAAACACAGTTGCATAATTCGACCTTGAGATACCAGCATAATAACCGAGATCATTGACCACAAGGCCAACCTGCATATCCTGGATGAGAAATAGAATCTCACCCGAGTGTCTTTTGATATCAAATATATCACCACGAGTTGATAAAAGTTAAAACTATCTGAGACTTGTCGAGGATATTTTTACTTTTATCAACAAGTGTTGATATATTTCATTATTTGATATCAAAAGACACTCTTCAGTAGTTTTCAATGACAAATATATATCTCTGAACACGGTACTGCCATTAGACTTGCAGTTCGGCGATGTCAAAGCATTGTGATGTCATCAAGTTCATGACATCATAGCATTGTCAGGGCATTGTACAAAATCTACTGTCAAAACGATATCTCCTGTGGAACACAGTTTTGGAGGATAACCTGGTTTACAGGCATCAGAATGACAAACTTGGGGGGTGACAAGCTTATCTCATCATTAAATGCCAAAGAGATATTTCATTGCCAATAGTATGGTATACTGACATAAGTCAAAAGGCACACATGCTAAATTTAATCATTTGTGGCAAAGCCAGATCCTAGAGATTTATGTGTGGATGTATAATGGGTTCCAGCCTCTGGACAATTGGTTACTCCTTAACTATATTTCATATAGTTTTGTTTTGGAACCAATTTTACAAGAGAATTTTCACTTCTCTAATATTCCATTCAGATCTATTCCTGTCCTGATTAAATTCTCTGGGTAACTGATTATTGCTTACGACTGGACACTACTTATGAAACGTACAACACTGATACATAATGCTTACATACAAGAAAATCCAACCATAGAAAAGCAGTGAAACATCAACTGACTCAAGTTATATCTATGTGTTATATCTGCCTGACATACTACAATACAACACATTTAGGCTGACTTCAGTCATCCATACAACACATTTAGGCTGACTTCAGTCATCCATACAACACATTTAGGCTGACTTCAGTCATCCATACAACACATTTAGGCTGACTTCAGTCATCCATACAACACATTTCAGGCTGACTTCAGTCATCCATACAACACATTTAGGCTGACTTCAGTCATCCATATACCGGTAACACATGGAAACGGTATGCTTCAGCAAAAATGGAAAGAATATGGATGGAACGGACAAAGTGACTCACCTCCACCGCTTCCTCTTTGCCCTTCTTCTTCTTCTTGGACTTGGGTGTGGACAGGTCAGAGTCTTCCTTCTTATCATCAGGCTGCAGGAAACTAGACTCCCTGGATGTGGAGTCCTTATCCTACAACAGACACATATAGAATCATTGATTAGCAGAGAAATAGTTAAAATGGTCCATGGAAATAGTTAACATTCTGCAACTAAAGCAGATTTACTATTTATTTTCTCACAACTAAACTCACCAACACCAAAACAATAGATCACATTGATCAAACTATTTTTTAAAACTTATGGTTAGCTTTTTTTACAGAAATATAATAAATGAAAAAACAACAACCTACGTCTCTACATCATGTTGTTTCAAACAACATTGATTCTTTGTTGTTCACCAGTGTGTTTGGGAATATTCAAGCTATATCACAGTGGTCTTGTCTGGACAAGACAAACCACTGATTGACATTTTAAGAATCCATTAAGCTGTGTCTTATGACATTCATAGTTTCCTCGGCAAACTCTCTTAACTGGTGAGTGAGTGAGTTTAGTTTTACGCAGCACTCAGCAATATCCAGCGATAGCGGTGGTCTGTAAATAATCGAGTCTGGACCAGACAATCCAGTGATCAACAGCATGAGTATCAATCTACACAACTGGGATACGATGACATGTGTCAACCAAGTCAGCGAGGCTGACCACCAAATCCCGTTAAGTTGCCTCTTACGACAAGCATGGGTTACTGAAGATCAATTCTAACCCGGATCCTCATGGGTCAGTTCATGGAGGAAGGTCACTTTATTCTCTTAACTGGAATCCCATGGAGGTTATGATATACTGACAGCTTACCTTTGGATGAGACCTGTCCACACCAAAGAACTTGAGGACAGACTGGTCGTAGGTCTCCAGTTCCGTGTTCACCTGTTCTGGGTAGGACTTGACAATGTCTGTCTGCTGGTTGTGGAATATCTCATACCTGAATTTATGTATACATCAATATATTACTTACATCAGTTTCACAATCCACTTATTGGGGTATATCTATATGTTGTTTTATAAAATATTTAACTTATTTAACTAAGAATATATAACATTCTTTGCTTGCCCCAAACTATCCAAAATGGCATAATTTTAATCTAACTGCATGTATTAGAGTATATATGGAGCTTTATACACAAACATCAGATAGTTTATTTCTACTGTGGGAATGACAAGGTAGTGGTGATCATGTTGTGTGTGTAGACCATCACAGACCTGTGAAGATCTGGGTATATTCCAGCTATATGGCGGCAGTCTGTAAATAATCGAGTCTGGACCAGACAATCCAGTGATCAACGGCATGAGCATCGATCTACACAATTGGGCACTGATGACATGTGTCTACCAAGTCACCGAGCCTGACCATCCGATCCCGTTAGTCACCTCTTATGACAAGCATTGGTTACTGAAGATCAATTCTAACGCGGATCTTCTTCAGTGATATGGCACTATTATGACATGGACACCAAGATACACTTACGAGAGCCTGATTCTCTCCAGCATCTCCAAGGACTTTGCCAGGCTGGCTCTGAGCGAGTCCTCCGACGAGTCTTGACGCATTCTGTCCATCACAATGTCCAGGTTGGCTTCCCGCTCCTGCAAGAGTTGTTTGGTCACTGAGTATTCTTTTCCCCAAAATAATTTTGTAAAGGTTTGTTGTTTTCTTTAGTAAAAATCAACCACCCATCAATCTGGACATAAGAAAATATTTCCCTTCTGTCAATGAAAACAAACAGATACAAATTACAGGACATATCTGTTACATAGATCCTCATTTCCAGTGAAGGGGCGGTGGGTTAGCCCAGTGGTTAAAGCGTTCACTCGTCAAGCCGAAGACCCGGGTTTGATTCCCTACATGAGAACAATGTGTGAAGCCCATTCCTGGTATCACCCGCTTTGATATTGCTGGAATATTGCTAAAAGTGGCGTAAAACTAAACTCACTCATTCACTATTTCCACTGTATGATATTTAAATATGTAGCTGTCATTAAAGTCAGGAATATTCCAGCCAAATAATGGAGCCCTGGCCATATGAACAAATGGTTGATGTTATGAGCAACATCCCAAAACATCAAGACGTGATGATATGTAATCACCCAGGTCATGTAGTCGGACCACTCAAACCATCATGTGGTGGTGTCAACTAGACATAGAGCATCTGGGTCTGTAATGAATGAGTCAACAATGTAATCACTGCGCTAACCTCCAACACTCATCACTTACATCACATAAAGTGTCTGGTGACCTGGTCAAGGATTAGTATTATGGGTATACTTAGAGTGGGGACATTTATTGCTGCAGTATGATGCTGCTGCTGCTGCCCACCGACCTGGTTATGGTTGTCGTGTTGATGGCGGCAAGCCTCCAGCTTCTCCTGTAGTGCCCTCTCCTGCTTGGCCAGTCCGATCTCATGGACATCCCACATGTGGGCTGCACCCTGGGCAAACTTGAACAGGGACTTGGTCTTCTCTTCTAACTTGATGTTGTGATTCTCCATGGCTTTCTGTCAGTACAATTCTAACTTTATGAGTAGGAGCTTACACAATGGAATGAAAACTCCAAAAATACTTCTTCCAATAATCATATCACCAATCTATTCACATTTCAAAGGAGATGTCATATACATTTGTCTGTCCTTGGTTGAGGTTTAACTCGTGACAATTACTTGTGACAACAATCTAAGTCATAAAAACTCAACTATAAGGGAGGAAAACAACATATGAATGAACAAGTGAAGAAAGTGCTTGATAACAGTGTTAGAACCTACACCAAAACATTGCTCCCACTCGTTCATAACTTCTCGTCCCTTTCCATAAGACTTGTACAACTCTCGTAGCCATTTTACAGAACTTGACCCTGTCTGAGCGTAGCGCAAAAGCGCAGAGAGAAAGAAATAGTCTAGTCACCGAACTATTTTCAAGGGCATCTAACTCTAGTTTACTTGGAAAACAAACATGGCATCCATGCCGAGGAAATTACCCCAAAGGGTATGTTTAACATGCAGAAATACTTTCCTACGCCATAATGTTAGTATATCCTGGTTATAAAAGTTCACGAAACCCTATGCAATAATTAAAATAAACTTGAAGAGTCTTGGAAAAAATCATGCAAGTCGAAATGAAACTTATTTCAACTAACTATTTTGACCCAATTTCTTCTCGACATACGCACATTCTGATTGGCTGGGGGAATATTTGTCCCGGACATGGCTCCGATTTTTTCTTTCAGGTTACAGAAAGGGACGAGTAGTTACGAATGTGCTCCCACTGTAATAAAGAAGCTGTTCATCCATATATTGTTATCCTTCCTCGAACTTGTGCCGCTCTACACTTGTAGTGAAACATCTCATCGTCTGTTAACATAGTGATGTCAGAACATGCACAATGTACCTCCATTGTTTCCAGGTTGGATTCCAGGACTCTCTGTCGGTCGCCCACCAGCGGTAACATTTTGGTCTCAACCACCTGCTTTGCTTTGGCTTCAGTGCACACTCCAGATTCTATCAGGGATTTCTGACAAGAAAAACAAACAAGTGATGTACTTTACCATCCATCAGCCGGATATGTGACAACTGACTGATGCTGTTCACTCATCCATTTGTATTTTGTCAGCCACTGAAACTCTGAGAAACAATATTGGGACATTATATTGAGTGTGTCTTATAAACATTGCCTGTTTCGGCTCTAGAAGTAGCGGGGCGGTGGGGTACCCTAGTGGTTAAAGCGTTGGCTTGTCACGCCGAAGACCCAGGTTTGATTTCCCATTTCTGGTGTCCACCAGCGTTATATTACTGGAATATTGCTAAAAGCGGCATAAAACTCATTCACTCACTCTAAGAGTAGCACACTGCATAGCTTGTATCTAGATAACAGAATTTTAAATAATTAACATGTCTTGGTTTCTCAACTGAAACTTCAGCAGAAAAGGAACAAAAACATTCTGTGTTGCATCCTGACAGATGAGTCTGGACTCTTTTAATCCTCAAATACAATCTAGTCAGTCCCTGTAAAAAGTTCACTGGTTGAGCTAAGGATAATATGCAGAACTATCAATATGTGCCTGATAATAAAGGGTCTGAAGATGACCCTTCTTCCTTCCCAGTAGTACTTTTCATGGTATATTTGGTGATATTACTTTGTATTCTGACCTTGATACCAGTACAGTTATTATATTTTAATGACTGAAATAATTACAGCATTGTTAGCCTAACATTTCATAATGATATGATAAAAGCCTTTTTTCCCAAATTGTCATCTGTCATCAGTAAAATATAAAATTAACTGACACATACAATAATATTCCCCAGCCAAAAGTATGGTGTTTGTTATGTGTTTGTTTGTGTTTGTTTGTGTTTGTGTGTTTCCAGCATACCTTGACTGACTCATACTCCGTGCTCCATCTGGTTGGCATCTACAATATGGTCATCATAAAATGCACAATCATCACATTCTGACCATACTCCTCATGGTCATCATAAAAGCTTGCTCATGTGCATCTGGTTGACAGCATCTACAATATGGTCATCATAAAATGTACAAAAATCAAATTCATGTTGACAATTTGACCATAGGCTAAGAAACACATCTGGTTGACAGCATCTAGGGAATGGTAATCATAAAAGTCACAATCATCAATTTCATGTTGACAATTTGACCATAGGCTAAGAAACATGAACTTAAACTGATCAAGACAAGCAATGGCCGGAGCAAGGCAACTGTTACTGACACAACAATGGATGCATTGACAGAATGACCACTACAACATTGGCAGGAACAAACATGGAACTCCCACCTATTTCCACTGTAACTATCTGCAGCTGTTGGTTCCACTTATACACAGCTGTCTTGGTGGAAGCGGGAGGCCGCATCTCACTGTAACAGACAATTAGGAGATAAACATCATGTGTTGGCTAATTTCTGTGTGTTATTGACTATTTGAAGCACGGATATTCATATTCCCGTGCTTCAAGTACTCAATAACACCCGTAAATTGGCCAATACATGATGTTTATCGACATTGTAATCACAAAAGTAAACCAAAAGGCCCACATGGGTTTTGCTGTTTGCACTCATTGACATCGAGTATGGGTACAGCAGTGAAGTGTCATCAGCTGGCCGTTTCAGCTGGTTCCCATGGTAGCATCTGGAACTGCTCATTTTAGCCGTCATTCCGACTTTACGTCACAATATGATTTGAATGACGTCACCACTGGTGACGACACAACAATACAATTATGTGCGATATTTGTATGTGTCAATACGCAGTGAATAGTCTTCCAATTTCTGGGAATCGAATACCATTCAATCATGTTTTTCAGCCAATCAGATGAAAAAACACAGTGACTTTTGGTTTACAATATATGGCTACATCACCTCCCTGTAACAGAAACAAATAGCAATAGCGGGAGCTATAGCAGGATCCATACCAATGGCCAGGGCTAGACTGACTGACTGAGTTGAGTTTTACGCCGCTGTTAGCAATATTCCAGCAATATCACGGCGGGGGACACCAGAAATGGGCTTAACACATTGTGCCCATGTGGGGAATCGAACCCGGGTCCTCGGCGTGACGAGCCAACGCTTTAACCACTAGGCTACCCCACCACCCCTGCCAGGGCTAGAGCCATAACTGGAGCCATAGCAGGAGCCATAACCTAGCCTCCACAAAGTTCACACATATTACAAAGTTTCAATGTGAAAATAGATTTAATGTACCATTAAACGTCCGGAATATATTTTATGTGTAGAAAATTGACTATCATGTCATATATTTGTGTAAATCTAATTCAAATTCTGTTAAGTCAAAGAATATGTTTGAGCATCAAGACCAGGGATTTACCTTTATTCCTGTATTTGAGGGTACCTGGGACTCATACTCTTAATTTTCAGGGGTCCTGGACTACAAAATGGGGGTCCCAGACACTTAATTATTATTATTAATACTATGTTGTAATATTGTTGTAATTCAGTTACTGTTGTTGTATCATGTATCATGATCATCACATTGTTACAGTAATTAAACTGCAAATGATACCATGACCCGGGTCGTTCCAGACTCAATGATAACTTATTGTTACTTGATCGAAATTTTTACAAAAAGTATTTGGACTTTTTCTGCATCCTTGTGGACCCGCTAATCAATTTCATTGATTCCGTTGTAAACTTTTACCCGTATAGGATGCAGGAATTTGCATCCTGTAACCCCCTGCTCAGTGATGCTAACTACAAGTTGAGGTTAAAATATATCACCCTCAAATTATCTTAACCTTCATGCTGAAACCAGTAATTATTTTAGTATTACAAGTTAAATACCCCTCCTGTTCTCCCCAAACAAACATTTTCTGCAAATACTACCAGTTAACATAACTGGCACATTTGGATTTTTTCACTACTTTATAACAAAACATACCCACCTGGTCATCATATGTACAAGACATGGTTCAAAATATTGTAATGACTCCACTATAATTGTAATTGTTGACATGACTGTATATTGAACACTACCATGATCATTTTGTAAGTGAACATTAGTCCAGAGAAAGTTTGGCAAGTTGTTTTCACTGACCCGATCGACTCGATGAGTTCAAGTCTCTTGGCGCTTATGATTGACTGCTCTGCAACCATGAACTCGAACACCTTCTCTACTCCGGGAGGATTGGCCACAGCATCACTGTTCATGTACTTCCTGAAGCAAGAGGTACACATCATCCTCAAGTAGGGAATATAACTATATAGCATAGAACAACATACAAACATCAACAGAAATATTTAGCCATGATTAATCCCATGCACATTATCAGGCCTACCAAAGAAAACTTTCCCACTGTGCAGAAAAACGCAGAATATAACATAAACACATTACCTCGCTACACTGAAACAGTAAAACCATGCACGAAAAACTATGAAACTGCAACATTTTAATAGTTTCATCTTGAGCTTTGACTCTACATGGAGATACGATCCGGCTTCTTTCCACTTCGACACCGGAATCGCCTCGCCAAAAAAAATATTTCTTCAATTGTTTCATCACGAATGGAAAGACAAGTATCATGATGATATATGCAATTTCTTTAAAAGGAATGTACTTTAGTCCTTGCTGGAAAATGTGCAGTCCCATGCACATTATGAAACCATTGTAGTTATCTTCTTTGAAGATGTTGATCTTCCAACATGTGGGCTTTTCTGCGATCACATGTTTTTTTTCTTAAGTCAATGTAGTTATCTTCTTGGAAGATGGAGATCTTCCAACATTTCCGATCACATGTTTTTCTTAAGTCAAGGAAAAAAGGCTGTAGCATGCATATTTCTTGACCAAATGTATTTAGCCATGATTAATCCCATGCACATTATAAGCCATTGTAGTTATCTTCTTTGAAGATGTTGATCTTCCAACTTTTCCAATCACATTTTTCTAAGTCAAGGCAAAGGCTGTAGCATGCATATTTCTTGACCAAATCTTGATATCATCACAAAACTCTTACTGAAGAGCACTGAAGGACTTAATAAATAAACTGAACACCTTTCTCCTATTTCATTGAATGCAAATTTTCTTTGGAATGAAATATGTATTGAAAAGAATCATCTCTAAATGATGAATTCTATAATCAAATCAAATGTTTATCATTAACCAGGCAAGTGAGACAAGTAATGGTTTATCTCAAACTTCATTCCAACCTACTGACCCTATTTAAAAAAAGGGTTAATTAGCATACAATGACTGACTGACTGAGTTTAGTTTTACGCCGCTTTTAGCAATATTCCAGCAATATCACGGCGGGGGACACCAGAAATGGGCTTAACACATTGTGCCCATGTGGGGAATCGAACCCGGGTCTTTGGCGTGACGAGCCAACGCTTTAACCACTAGGCTACCCTACCGCCCCAGCATACAATGAGAAGCACGATGTATTTTGCAGTAAGAAAGAACACAAAGACATTTGGGAATCTAATTTATTCTACAACATCTGTGGTGAAGAGTACAACTATCACAAGGGCTGGATATATATTTCTCCTAGTTCTCTGTTTCAAAGTTTGTCTCTTCTTCTTCCTCTTCTTTATCATCCTCCTCCTCCTCTTCTTCGTCATTTGCTTCTGCCAAGTCCTCCTCCAGATTTTGTAGGATGTGGTTGTATTCAGAAAGTCTCCAGGTGTCTCTGTCAATCGTCTCTGGAAAACTGAAATAGACATGATATGCACAATGTCAGTTTCACTTCTCCAAGACAACTATGTACATCAAGTTTTAGCCAAACTGTGCATGAAATCAAAATTAAATTGTGACTTTATCTTAATACCGTGCATAACAGTGTCTGTGTTTTTAATGAATACAGGATAAATATGTTGTAAAAATAAGGACTCACCTGGTGATGACATTGTGTGCTGTGATCCATGCTGTGGTGATGTACATAGACAGCTGACATGCAATGTACGAGTCTTGTACAGCAAACAAGTGACGTGGATTTCAGAAACTCACAAGGAAATCATATGGTGTTCAATCTCTGGTGATCATGCTGAACATGCACTTGTCAATATTATTGGAAATAAAGAGAATGTAATGGTCAGACAAACAATATGTTTGTTTTGTTTACAAGTTTATATCTGATTGAAAAATGAAAAAACTACTGATTATAGAATCAAAATAATGTGTCTCAAATGTGTCTAAATTAGCCAATGACACCTGATCAATCACTTTGCCTCTCTAGTCGTGACAAGGTAATACGTCACTGGTTGTAGCCAGGAAATTGAAGACACAATAAGACACAGGCATGACCAGAGGGACCGGTCAGATTGATGAGACAGCAATATTAGAAACTGACCTCCTACTTTGACACATGACAGCTTATGAAACAGCAATATTAGAAACTGACCTCCAACTTTAACAAGCCAAGCTTATGAGCAGCAACTGATGAGACAGCTGATGAGACACATTACAAGCTGACCTCTGATTTTAACACCGCCAACTGATGAGACAGCTACATTACAAGCTGACCTCTGACTTTGAACACCGACAACTGATGAGACCAACATTACAAGCTGACCTCTGACTTTAATTACGACAACTAATGAGACAGCTTACAAGCTGACCTCTGACTTTAACGACAACTGATGAGACAGAGAAAGCTGAGACTTTAACACACGCCAACTAATGAGACAGCTACATTACAAGCTGACCTCTGACTTTAACACCACGAACTGATGCCTACATTTACAACTGATGAGACAGCTACATTACAAGCTGACCTCTGACTTTAACACACGCCAACTAATGAGACAGCTACATTACAAGCTGACCTCTGACTTTAACACACGCCAACTGATGAGACAGCTACATTACAAGCTGACCTCTGACTTTAACACACGACAACTGATGAGACAGCTACATTACAAGCTGACCTCTGACTTTAACACACGCCAACTAATGAGACAGCTACATTACAAGCTGACCTCTGACTTTAACACACTACAACTGATGACAGCTACATTACAACTGACCTGAGACAGCTTTATTTACAAGATGACCTACTGACCTCTTTTAACACACGCCAACTGATGAGACAGCTACATTACAAGCTGACCTCTGACTTTAACACCGCCAACTGATACAGACAAGCTGACCTCATTACAAGCTGACCTCTGGCTACATTTACAATGCTGACTCACACGCGACAACTGATGAGACAGCTACATTACAAGCTGACCTCTGATTTTAAACACCGCGACAACTGATGAGACAGCTACATTACAAGCTGACCTCTGATTTTTAACACACGACAACTGATGAGACAGCTACATTACAAGCTGACCTCTGACTTTAACACGACAACTGATGAGACAGCTACATTACAACTGACCTGAGATGAGACAGCTACATTACAAGCTGACCTCTGACTTTAACACGCCAACTGATGAGACAGCTACATTACAAGCTGACCTCTGATTTTAACACACGACAACTGATGAGACAGCTACATTACAAGCTGACCTCTGACTTTGAACACCTACGACAACTGATGAGACAGCTACATTACAAGCTGACCTCTGATTTTAACACATTACAACTGATGAGACAGCTACATTACAAGCTGACCTCTGATTTAACACCACGCCAACTAATGAGACAGCTACATTACAAGCTGACCTGGAACACTTTAACACGCGCCAACTATGAGATACGACAGCTACAACACCTCTGACTTTAACACGCCAACTGATGAGACAGCTACATTACAAGCTGACCTCATGATTTTAACACGCACAACCAATGAGAGACAAGCTACATTACAAAGCTGACCTACAAGCTGATTTTAACACCACCGACAACTGATGAGACAGCTACATTACAAGCTGACCTCTGATTTTAACACACGACAACTGATGAGACAGCTACATTACAAGCTGACCTCTGATTTTAACACACGCCAACTGATGAGACAGCTACATTACAAGCTGACCTCTGACTTTAACACACGCCAACTGATGAGACAGCTACATTACAAGCTGACCTCTGACTTTAACACTGCGACTTGGACAGCTACATTACAAAGCTGACCCTGACTTGATACGACAACTGATGAGACAGCTACATTACAAGCTGACCTCTGACTTTAACACCGACAACTGATGAGACAGCTACATTACAAGCTGACCTCTGACTTTAACCACGCCAACTGATGAGACAGCTACATTACAAGCTGACCTCTGACTTTAACACCGATTTTAACACATTACAAGCGCCAACTAATGAGACAAGCTACATTACAAGCTGACCTCTGACTTTAACACAACGACAACTGATGAGACAGCTACATTACAAGCTGACCTCTGATTTTAACACACGACAACTGATGAGACAGCTACATTACAAGCTGACCTCTGACTTTAACACATGCCAACTGATGAGACAGCTACATTACAAGCTGACCTCTGACTTTAACACACGCCAACTGATGAGACAGCTACATTACAAGCTGACCTCTGACTTTAACACACGCCAACTGATGAGACAGCTACATTACAAGCTGACCTCTGACTTTAACACACGCGACAACTGATGAGACAGCTACATTACAAGCTGACCTCTGACTTTAACACCACGACAACTAATGAGACAGCTACATTACAAGCTGACCTCTGACTTTAACATTACGACAACTGAACTGATGGGACAGCTACATTACAAGCTGACCTCTGACTTTAACACACGACAACTGATGAGACAGCTACATTACAAGCTGACCTCTGACTTTAACACACGCCAACTGATGAGACAGCTACATTACAAGCTGACCTCCGACTTTAACACACGCCAACTGATGAGACAGCTACATTACAAGCTGACCTCTGACTTTAACACACGCCAACTGATGAGACAGCTACATTACAAGCTGACCTCTGACTTTAACACGCGACAACTGATGAGACAGCTACATTACAAGCTGACCTCTGATTTTAACACACGACAACTGATGAGACAGCTACATTACAAGCTGACCTCTGACTTTAACACACGACAACTGATGAGACAGCTACATTACAAGCTGACCTCTGACTTTAACACGTACCAAATTATGAGATAACTACATTACAAGCTGACCTCCGACTTTAACACACACCAACTTATGAGACAGCTACATTACATGCTGACCTCTGACTTTAACACATGCCAACTTATGACATAATTACAAGCTGACCTCCGACTTTTACACAAGAGAACTGATGAGACAGCTAAATTACAAACTTATGAGACAGCTGTATTAGAAACTGACCTCCGACTTTAACATGCAACAACTTATAAGACAGCAATATTAGAAACTGACCTCCGACTTTAACACGCAACAACTTATAAGACAGGAATGTTAGAAACAGACATCCCACTTAATTATCCTGGAATCAACCATGATGAGATGAGTGCCATTATTTTGCCCCTCTATGGTACGGCCCCTCTATCTACGGATAAAAAGAACATAAAAATTCTTCATGCCATGTGTTTCTCATGAAATCATTGTCCACATTAAGAAATAAGAAATGTAACTGATCTGACCTCTTGAGACATGTGCCAGCACTGACACTAACATTATCTAAAGTGTAAAATAAGAGTGAGTGAGTTTACTTTTACGCCGCACTCAGCAATATTCCAGCTACATGGCGGCAGTCTGTAAATAATCGAGTCTGGACCTGACAATCAAGTGATTAAGTGCAACAGCTTGAGCATTGATCTGCGCAATTGGGAGCCGATGCCGTTAGTTGCCTCTTACGACAAGCATGGGTTACTGAAGATCAATTCAAACACGGATCTTCACGGGTTTGTAAAATAAGAGCTTTGGTATAACATAACACAAAGGGTATTTGATATAAATTTAGAATTTAGGGACAAGATCTGTGAAACATAAACACATGCATGAGTAACTGACACAGGCAAAGACAAATACAAAATAATGACTGCTGAGTAATAATTAACTGAACTGAAGTATAAAATGCTGTTGAAAATAATAGAAATGTGATGTGGACACAACTGGCTTGATTAAGTATGAACTGTTGGGCCAAAAGAATTTGATCATGAGATTTTCATCAGCATCGTGTTACTGGGAAACTAGTCATCCTTTGGACTGTTTATGAGGTATTTTTGAAGTTGTAAGTAATAGGAATGACAAGTCTTTATGGATGATCAACTTCTTTATTGTACAAAAGTGACATTCGGTATAGCATGCTTGAAAACAGTAAAAGTGTCCACACCGAAATGTCGGTTTTGTACAATACAGAAGTTGATCATCCATAACTACTTGCTATTCCTAGTCATCAGCTGTTATTGCTGCAGTCAAACAATGTCACCATGTGCATTCAGTTTTCTATATTTGATGAAATACACCATAGACATGGTCCTACCAGCACTCATGCTTCATGGGAATCTAACCCTTCAACAGTTAATACATCACAGAGAGAGCCGTAACAGTTTGTTAGAAGAAATATATATTGATGATAAAATGCTCACAACTCTGTCTTTGAAAATGTGGAAGAATATCCAAGAATTATGTTAGGTGGCCTTTTCAGATGAGTGAGTGAGTGAGCTGAGTTTTATGCCACACTCAGCAATATTCCAGCCATATGGCGGCAGTCTGTAAACAATCGAGTCTGGGCCAGACAATCCAGTGATCAACAGCATGAGCATCGATCTGCGCAATTAGGAACCGATGACGTGTCAACCAAATCAGCGAGCCTGACCACCTGATCCCGTTAGTCGCCTCTTACGACAAGCATGGGTTACTGAAGATCAATATTCTAACCCGGACCTTCACAGGTAACCTTATCAGATGATTGTTGAAGATTATTCATGAATCATTGAGAATCATGTATTTGATCAATAATTCATCTCCAACAATGAATTTGCCATCATGAAAACAGTGAACACAGTTAACTCCCAAATACAGTTTCAATGGGAGCTATGATTCAAGTACTTATGTCCAGAATTCTCTATCCACAGACACAATCAGCAATGTTTAAACCGCTGTATCAGGGGATAGATAGTATGATTTCACAACATTCCAGCCATGTCTCGGTGTATCAGCTTAGTGTGAGAGGGAAGCTAAAGTGATGCATGTTTCAGATGTTCCCGAGATAACCCACAATCACAGGTAGGGCGCTCACAAACCTAGAAACACAATCTGGAAAACTGGGATTCAAACCAGGAGGATAGGTTTGTACAGTGAATTGTGGCACCTTAGATGACAGGGCTCCCAGATCCCTGGATACAAGTGTATTTGATACAAGTGATATTTTACAGATTTTGACACTTCTTGTAACGAGGTTGGTAGGGCTGGATATTGCCCTGATTCTCATATTGCGATATATTGCAATAATGTAAGAGATATTGCAATACATATTGTGATATATTCACTGGAAGGTTTCTGCCAAAGCGTGTACATCATTAATTCATAATAGCTCTCTGTGTGCGACATCGTCTTCTTAGTTGCTGTTACACCATACTTTCAGGCTCCCCATCCCCATTGTGTATGGCTGTATGCCAATGGTTTACAGATAAATGTAAATGAAATAGAGCATTAGTGTAGAATGTTTAATTGAAGTACTGCACTGCAACAAAGTTTTGCGAACATAATGATAAATTTAATAGTATAACATGATTTTCATTATCAGCGTTGTTTTCTTTAACAGAATGCATTTCAAAGCAGTATGTAATTATTGCTACTGTATGTCAGTGATTCATTCAGATTCAACTCCAATATAAACATGTGTTTACATGAGCTATTGCAAAATGAAAACAAAAAAATGATTTAGGTGAACTACTTGAGCTTAAAATCTTATGTGACATCCAATATATTAGTAAGATTCTTGACTAGAGTGTCATTATACAATATAAAGACACTTCCACTTGTAAAATGTTGCATGAAACCAACAGAAATAAATGCATATTTGATACTTTTAGAGCACATTTTGTTGCTGTGGCAATCAAGGGCAGATAATTCAAAGGGAGCTAATTCTGGATGACCCAATATATTGCAGAATCTGAACCAAATCGCAATAATCGTATTGTGAGATACTGTACCGGTATTTATTGGTTTACCGGTAATATTGCACAGCCTTAGAGGTTGGACTATGATACAATCACACAACTCACTGAAATTTGGCGACAGCAAGATCAATGTTGAGCCTCTTCCAGTCCTCAACACGTCTCCGCCATGTTGAATGTTGCATCTTCTCTCGCTCAATGTCGGAAGAAAGGAGACGGACATTCAGATCTGCATATGCTCGCTTGTTGCTCAGCATGGTCTGGTTGATCGTCTGAAGGAAATATTCAGAGAGTAGAAGTGAATCTTTGAATGAAACCAATGACCAATCTACCCTGGATATGTATGATAACCACTTCAAAGAAGTTGGTGTTTTGTGAACCCAAAGTGAATTTGACAGCCTCCATATCACCTAATGAAAATGAAGGACGTTGGCTTCTTGAGCCGATGAGATGTCAATTTCTAAAATCATTTAGCTTTTCTTCTTTAGGCCAAATAAAAAAATTGTTGTGGTTCCGATTTTTTTAATTTAGTGTAGGTAGGTAGGAATATTTTTTTGCACATATTTATTTAGACGTAAAGTACAAACTAATAACACATTTATCAATGTGTAATTGTTTATTTAATCAAGCTTGCGGCCATCATGTCGACTTTCTCTATCAGAATGACCGATGTCTGTCGGTGCCGGGAAAAAACAATGGTATCTAAAAGCTTATGTTATTCATACCGCTTAAAAATTAGGGTCTGCACCAGAATTCAAGGGTCGGTCGGGTAATCGGAACCACAACATATTTTTTTAGGCCTTGTAACTGTTTCAAACATTTTGATTTCAACACAAGGAAACGATACATACCGAAGATATTGTGTTGATGGGAATGCCCATTGGGCGAGGTTGTCACAGATTTCAGCAACAACACAGTGTACATAATATCTAGAACTATATTATTGTGTGACTGTGTTATTGACATTCAAACATTCAACATCTTTTGTTAGCTTTCAAGATACAGATATCACATTCACTGCTCGTAATGCTTCACCCACTCTTACCACAGACCCACATGAGGTAAATGGGTGAAGCCCATTTCTGGTGCCCCCCGCTAAGATATTGCTGGAATATTGCTAAAAGCAGCGTAAAACTAAACTCACTCACTCTTACCAAAGATTTAGATCAATGCTGACAGACTTTCAAGAAAGTTCAGTTCATGCAGAGAGGAGAGAGGCATCAGTAAAAGATCTGATTTTAATGAGACTGGATTTTTTCGGCCTTACTGAAGACTGGGTACACTTGAGACATCCTATTACCTGTGATTCCTTGTCCAGAAACCTCTGCAGGTCTGGGGACATTAGGTGAGCTATTTTTTCCAGACTCTTGGAATATGACTGGAACACACTCTGAATCTGTGAATACAAGGAACAACACTGTTACCATGGCTTGCATTACAAACAGGGACCATTGCATGCATTCAGTCTTAGAGATACCAAAATTATAATCTAGGATAATAATTAGGAGTTACGACAATGGTAGCGTTAAGGTGTCTATGTGGAATGTGAATCAGGCTGAACAACAGCTACCGTTTCACAAACTAAAAAGTACCATACATGCGACCATATTCCAGCATTGTTCAGTTATGACACACTGAACACTGAGACGTTTCTTACCCATATCAAGGAAACTGTCACATCAATCTACACAATTCTTAAAACCTAGCTATAGCGTGAGCTACATATAAAGTGAGCTATAAGATTGAGTTTCTGCATGTTTCAGTTATCTATACAGACAGAGCTTAGAGAAGTGAGCTATTCTCATGTAAAGCTATAACCTCAGCTACATATAAAGTGAGTTAGAACATGAGCTACACATGAAGTAAGCTATAACCTCAGCTATATACAAAGTTAGCTATAACTTGAGGTACATATAAAGTGAGCTATAACCAGAGCTACATATAAAGTGAGCTATAACCTGAGCTACATACAAATTGAGCCATAACCTGAGCTACATATAAAGTGAGCTGGAACCTGAGCCACATATGAAGTGAGCTATAACCTGAGCTACAAATAAAATTAGCTATAACCTGAGCTACATATAAAGTGAGCTATAACCAGTGCTACATATAAAGTAACCCATAACCTGCGCTACATATAAACTAAGCAATAAACTGAGCTACATATAAAGTGAGCTATAACCTCAGCTACATACAACCTGAGCTACATATATAGTGAGCTATAACCTCAGCTACATATAAAGTGAGCTATAACCTCAGCTACATATAAAGTGAGCTATAACCTCAGCTACATATAAAGTGAGCTATAACCTGAGCTACATATAAAGTGAGCTATAACCTGAGCTACACATAAAGTGAGCTATAACCTGAGCTACATATAAAGTGAGCTATAACCTGAGCTACATGTAAAATGAGCTATAAAGTGAGCTGTAACTTGAGCTACATATAAAGTGAGCTATAACCTGAGCTACATATAAAGTGAGCTATAACCTGAGCTACATATAAAGTGAGCTATAACCTGAGCTACATATAAAGTGAGCTATAACCTGAGCTACATATAAAGTGAGCTATAACCTGAGCTACATATAAAGTGAGCTATAACCTGAGCTACATATAAAGTGAGCTATAACCCTGAGCTATAAGTGAGGCTATAACCTGAGCTACATATAAAGTGAGCTATAACCTGAGCTACATATAAAGTGAGCTATAACCTCAGCTACATATAAAGTGAGCTATAACCTGAGCTACATATAAAGTGAGCTATAACCTGAGCTACATATAAAGTGAGCTATAACCTGAGCTACATATAAAGTGAGCTATAACCTGAGCTACATATAAAGTTAGCTATAACCTGAGCTACATATAAAGTGAGCTATAACCTGAGCTACATATAAAGTGAGCTATAACCTGAGCTACATATAAAGTGAGCTATAACCTGAGCTACACATAAAGTTGGCTATAACCTGAGCTAATATAAAAGTTAGCTATAACCTGAGCTACATATAAAGTGAGCTATAACCTGAGCTACATATAAAGTGAGCTATAACCTGAGCTACATATAAAGTGAGCTATAACCTGAGCTACATATAAAGTGAGCTATAACCTGAGCTACATATAAAGTGAGCCATAACCTGAGCTACAACACGAGATACACACCATGTCCATCCTGTCATCCTCTATCTTCTGCAGCATGTGGTCAAGCTCCGTGATCCAGGTCTGTCTGACTGGGGTGTGATGCTGGACATCTTCCCACAGCTTGAACAGGTCCTCCAGGCTGAAGAGTTTTAAATCCTGAAAAATACAATGTTGCCACATCGCTGGAATGTTTTCACTCACACTGACTCGGGTTTACCACAAAGAGATTACTACTTGGATGGTTATTTGGTGACATTGTTCAACCTAAATTGCTTTTTTAAAGTAAAATACTGTCTAAAGTAAGATAGCTTTGGTTATATTTGTCCATGCATATCTAACGACAATGCCCATGTCTGTTGACCAATCAGTGATCAGGGAAGTGATATGGCAATGCAAACATCAAAATATACAGGAGATATTTAGTTAGTTAGTTAGTTAGTGAGTTTTAAGTCGCTCTTAGCAATATTCCAGCAATATCATGGCGGAGATATGTAAAATTGTCTAATGCTGTAAAGTGATGTACAAAAATGGTTTGGGGGGATTATTTAAAATAAACAATGTACCGGTACATATTTTGAAAAGCATTTTGATTGTGACTTATAGGTCAAAAACATCCTGTACATGTTGCCAACACACAACAGATATCATACCGAATTACAATAATACCAGAGGCTCATGTCCCTTACTTAATGATTCTTAGGTATGTCAACTTATGTATCTGGTAAATCTTGTACAGAATAGTGACAATGGAATACATTTCAAAGTGGCCTTAAATCCCTCTCTCACTCAATCACTCACTCAGCCCTGACAACCATCGTGAGGCACTGGCAAATTTGTCTTCAGGGTAAAGATTTCCAATTGCAGCATTACTTTAACCCATTATTATGTTACATTGCAAGCAATACCAGGACACATAACAAACCTCATCCTTCTCAATAGTAGCTAACAGTTTGGCAACTTCTCCATCATCCTCTTCCAGTCTGGCCAAGGTTATGTCACTCAGCTCAAGGACACGAGGCTCCAGCTCCTGATATGGAAGAGAAACTGAGGTAATAATCTGTCGTAGAAATATGAAATAGGTATCAGCAGACTCAATTTATGAATGCTGGAGTTTGCAATCAGCAATTGATGGTCCATATCAAGTAGACTGAAACAAAAGGAGTTCTCTGCCATCATCCAAACCCCCAAAATAAATAAACCCATGTAGGGACGAAAACGAGCTTGGTGAAGAAGCAGAGATAGAAAGAGTCTTTAGTAAAATCGACATAGTTCTAAAAGAACATTAACACTAAATTGGATACAGAAATGAAACATTTCAACATTCTAATACCAGACATTACAGCAGATTTCCATTCAACAAATAACTTTGAGAAGTCTGTACATTGGGGAAGGTCCGATGGAATGTGGACAACATCTAAGTAGGGATGTATCCCATGTGTCATACATGGACAGTAAAATCACTAGTCCTTGCATCAGCGATTATCGAAGAGTTTGATATTCATTCAAAATAAACCATCAAATTAACTTTAGAAAGTAAAATTTTTTCTTGTTGTTATGTTTGTTACATCAAGACATAAACAACTGATACAGTTTCCTGACTTGTAAAGCTGCAATGAAAACAACATACTTGCGCACATTTCTCAACCTGATGTATCCTCAATCATCTTGATTCTTGATCATGATATGATATTACTTGGTGCCTGTTTTCACAGTGCTATGATCATGTCATGTTATTGCCCACATGAGTTTTGTGGTGGGGCTTACAATTACAGTTGATTATTGATTGATTATGAGCTCCGATTATCGATCTGCATAGTGTAAGCAATAACCAGCACAAGAAATCACTACTGCAGGGTTTGATGCGACCCACAAGTGTGTGTCCAGTACACACAGATGTAGAGAATGGACACAGAATACAATTTCACTGTCTCCAGAGGGATGCACAATATTATTTATTGTACCCACAACACATCGATGACTTTGCTAATTGTTTGGTTGTTTCTTTTAGAGCAGTTACGTGGCATCATTTCAATCATCAGTCATGACTATTATCCACAAGATCAATGATCTCTCAAGACTCTAAATAAATTATCCAAACGTACAGTCCTCTTCACTGTTACTTCATAGGACCCTCATAATGCCTGCAAGGACCCTTAAAACTAATAATTGGGGTCCCTGGGACCACCATGTTTGTGAGTCAAGGTAAAACCCTGCTTCAGATATCTAAATGTTATCACTGACAAGCGGTCTATCCAAATACTGCTGCAGTACTAGTGATGGTACTTACAGCGCTGATGACGCTCAGCTCCTGGCGCATGTCCTCCACAGCTGCTTCATGTCTGCAATACATCAGTCGATATCAGAACAAACAACTTACCATATATCTACAACCTGCAGCGAGTACAAGCTAGTCCTTCAAATACAGATTTAACCATGCACTAAAACACCACAGTATTTATCTCACAGTGTCAGAAAAACATTCCTGTTCGGTCCATACAGGCATTGATGCTCCAGAAACCAAGTTAAAACTTCAGCAAAGTTTTAATTAGACAGTATATGAAAACATTAAGCTGTCCACTGCACTGTCTTTTCAAACTTTCTATTGCCTCAGCACACAGCATGGCTTCAGTCTCACCTCTCCTTCCTGCTGGCTGATATTCTTTCAATGATGTCAGACTCCTCCTTCGCTGGCACTGATGGAACAAATATCATGTTGATAGAAATGTGTTTACAAATGATGACACGTTCAGGATTAAACTGGACTCCAACTTCAAAATGGCACTTTCGAAGAAGGATTAAACTGGTTGGTTTTTTTATGTGTAACATGTAGTCAGTGCTGAAAGTGTAAATGTAGCTGAAAAACAGCTTTACCTATTACCAAAGTACTACTGAGAGGCAATCTCACCGACAACATCTGGTAATCCTCGGACTTCTTTACTGGCCAAGCTTCCATCTGTTTCCTTACGGCGAGCATTTACAAACTCTGTGAATTGTCTGAAATTAAAAACAATATTTCCTACATCGCTGGAAGTTTCATTTACATGACAAGAAATTGAATACCAACAAACTGGCCAAATGCATTAGAGGTAACATGGATACAAGTTTCCAAGACTAGTATGTTCTGGTTGTGTTATTCCCAAATCTAGTGAATTTACACACAGCACTAGTCTGTAAAATCTGCAGACTAGCTGGACTAATGGTGTCAGTATACATAAAGTATTTACAGTTACCAGAGCATCACAATGAATGACTCAAGACTGCATGTATCTATTATCCAGTTACTTCTTTGTCCTGTCAAAAGTTTTGATGTCTGAAGCAAACACCAGTTCAATGTTGAAAAGTCATTTCCTCACTTGTAAAGAACAGGGTTTTCCATATGTGGATCATTTGGGAAGCTCTCCACCCAGGTCTTCTGTCGATCTGCAAGTATACCGTGTTGTGTTTCATCACGACTCAAGTGCACTGTAGGGATTCCTGTGCCCTCTCTCGGGGGATGCGGTATACGCTCTTTCCTCTGAACACTGCTCAGACTCTTGTTAAGTTGTACCTGGGGACAGCAAACAGATATGTGAAATTTTTTATCATGATGTAATTAGTGTTTAAGTACAAATCTGAGAGACTTGGTGCCCTTGACCTGAACTGAAACCAAGTCTTATGTAACTGTAAAGTTAACAGCTAAATAATGAGTGACTTCCTAGATTCAAATACAATACAGGTTATCATGGTTGATTGAGTGAAAAGCCATAAAAATGCCCCACAAAACAAAGGAAAATATACCCGCCTACACATAACCATGGAAAAGTATTCATGAATATACATCATAATATACAACTAAGTTACAAGTTACGTAAGGCAGTTAATCACATGAATTTGTTTTCAACTTTAACAAAACATTATATACTATTCTCAATGAAAATGATGAAGAATGTAGTTTTTTTTACTCTTTTTATACATATACGTATGCTAAGTCAAGCATTTCACAAAACGTGTAAAATTCTGCTTAGTACTGGTTTATGAATGTAGACAGCTGTCTGTCACCATGCTTACTTTTTGACACCACTGATAAACATGTTAAAATCATTGCCTGTTATACAATACTGTTATTTGTCATGCTTTCTGGGTTTTGATGTCATCAAACTAAGAGTACTCCAAGATCATTTGCTCATCATCCATATTAAAAGTTATGATACAGATCTGAGAATTTAAATATTATGACTGATGAATGCACATATATGTATAATTCAGCTTTGATAAATTTATGGATGAGATTTTGATCTTAATGTGTACCTAGATAAAGTTGGGTCGAACATAAATTTTATTCAATAAATCTTCAGATACAGGTGTCAGACATTTCAGATACTCATCACCAACAGTTTGAACAATCTAGATTAAGGACTATTTTCTGAGACATGTTTTGATTGTATACTGGGACTCTCTATTATCGCGGGCCCTCTGTTATTGCGGCACGCGAAAACATCGGGAAAGCAGAAACACCACGGCCCGCATCGGCTGTTTACATATGCAAATTACGTAAATATATTCATCGCTCTTGAAAAAGTCATTTATTTCATTTGGAATGTCATGTCTAATCGTAGAAATAGTAAAGCATTCATCTTTTCAGTAAGTTCTAGAACATTTTGAAACTAGTATGACCCCTACTGCCATTACATCTAGCATGAATCAAAACAAACTTTGTCAAGAGTAATCCTGTGACAACTATAAGGTCATTTGCATATTTTCTGTGCTAAAAATATAACAGGAAGTGACGTATTATGCAACTTCACTCTCCACACAGCAGCAACTTGTATCCTACGTTTTAAGGCGGAAAAACAATATCTTGTAATGTTATTGTTACCTTGTATCCAAATGAATAGAAGTCTCAGATGTTTGGGTTAAAAACATGATGATATTATTAATGTGAATGAAATTCCTAAATATTTTTTAATGATCAAACTATTTAGATTTGTTACTTGTCTTAGTAAACGTTTCACAGTGTCATCTGCTTGTACCGCGTGCCATAGTAAGAAAATAGCAATACCGCGATAATAGAGAGTTGCTTCAATTTCCCGGGTGAAACGAGAGAATCGGAATTGCCGCAATGGTATTAAACGAGTTGCGACTATGTGTCACATTATTTGTGACAAAAATGAAGATTAAACATCAGTCAACTGAAAATATATATAAAAAGCTAAATGTCAGTAGCCGTTCATAATCCCGATGGCGACAACATTAACTACCGCGATAATAGAGGGTCCCATGATAAATCATTTCCTGAATTTCTTAGAATTGTTTCTGTGCGTCATGTTATTATATCTAATAGATGGGATTGAGAACATAACAGCATCAGTATGTAAATGTCAGCTATATATAATAGGAAGTCCTTAACTATTCACACATCTTATTCAAATGTTATACAAACTGACCAAAACAATAAGTAAATGAATGACCTCAGCAGAACTAGCTAATATTTAGAATTTATTGGTAGCACATATCACGAGGATAGAAACTTCTATAACTATTTGGAACAGTTTACTCGGTACTAAAAAAAACCCAATAATTTTATTGGGAAACTAATCTTACCTGAGCATCAAACATCTGACGGTAAACCTTTCCGCTTGGCACAACGCGAATTGCTCTAGTTTCTGCCATCTTCAGATCAGTCGGCATCTTGTTTAGTATCTCCGACTACAGCCGATAAGAGTTTGGGACCGTTTAATACCTATATTTTTAATTAGCCCCTAATATATTTTAATAATTCACATCACTAACAATTACTTAAGAACACGTGTCTAAGACGCCAACGAGAACCTGCATCTATAGCATCATTTCATGTTTACAAATTATCGGCGCCATATTGACACTTCCGCTGTCCCCACGGCAACATGAAATCTCGCGAGACTTTGTTATTAAGACCCGGGCAGAACAGGCATAGATGAAACCGGACTACCATTAACCGCAAGCAACAGCATAATATAAATATACTTCAAAGTACTTAATTTCCTTGATTTCTTGTATTCATTGTACTCTTTCTCCATATCTACTGTATGTGACTGTAGATACGTCGTATTTCTGAACAAGAATACAGATTCATTATGAAGGGATATTATGTGAAAGTTACACTATCACCAAACTAGTTTCCTGCTGCTGAATATACAACGTCGTATCGCTTCAGGTGAACGAACAAGAGAAAAACGACTTTGTCTACAAATTTGCGGCTAAACTTCACTGGAGCTGGGCATTGTTGTATACAGAGGGATGAAGATTACCAAGTATTCTTGTCTCGTGAACTGAACAGGAAATAGGTGTCCCTCCCCAAACTTCTACATCTCAAAACTGCTGTATAAACTCCCGGAAGAAAGTGATAATACCTATTTTGCTAATGGAACAACCCATATGGGGAGTAGGTGATGAAAGGAAATTGATTAGCAGCTAATTAGGTATATATGGGATTACACTTTCTAAGTAAGTAAAGATTCTGACTCAGCCGCCTAAACCTTCTAGAAGCTGTACTTTACTGAGAAAGTGTAATGCCAAATATAATATATGTTGCAGAAAAAAATCAGGACTGTTTGAAAACAACGGTATCCGCTTCTGTTCCTTTCAATAAAGTAAAATAAAATATAGTCTTTGTGAGACACAAATATCCATAAATCGCATGTGTTCAGAAAACGCGGTTATCTTAGAGGCTATTACAGCTGTCTTTACAGACGATATTCCAGTCTTTGTCACAACAGTCATAAAATGGAATCCTGGGGGTCGGTTGTGTGACCGGGCTGATATATGTCACCGACACTCCAGTGGATTAGTCAGATGCTCATGTTATCGCCTGACCCATCTTCAATATACTGGTATGTTTACTCAAGAGTAAATTAATAGCATTACGGTTCTCTAAAGGAAAGTGAGAATTACAATCCATTGTATTGAAAGCCTGGCGCAAATTAATTATAAAGTTATTGGAGTGTACACGGTTATTTTTCGAATTTCAACTCTCAACTTTCTAAATACAGGCTAATGCTCTGTAAGCACTTTGTCACTTGATTAATTCTAGCTATTTGTGTTAAAGGCAGACAAAGCTCGAAGAGATTGGCAGTTCCTTGAAATATGTAATAGTGTATTTGAATATTTTACATCCGTTTTAGTTAATCGTGATCATCTCATCAAACCACGGTTACTCTGCTTTTGAGACTTGACTGCCTAAATCACGTGTTGAACACCAAATCGCAAAGACCCGAAATCACTTTTGTTTCTATCGTTGACTCTAATGTTGGAACAATTTGACGAAAAACGTGCGTCGCCACTGAGATTCCCACCTCGAAAGCCTCCAACGATGACATTGTTGTCTTCTGCCGTGGGAAATAAATTCTGTTTATTTTAAAAAATATTTAAATATATAAAATTGAGATGCTTAACAGCTTTCAGAATGATAGCAGACACTATATAAAGCTTCACCTGGACAGAGATTGTTTGTGGAGTTTAACCGTTCTCTTGCGTATTTGGTTGATTCCCGCTTTTGATTTGTGTGTGCTTTAAACTACACACCGTAGGAGCGGTGAACGGCAGGAAATATTTCATAGCAGGAAGTGAACGATTTATCACGCGAGAGGAGAGCAGGTTCTATTTTGTAGGTAGGAAAAATGTCAATATCTATCTTTGTATAGGCCACACTGTCCCCAAAATTCATGCTGTGAAATAGAAGACACATGTGCGTAATTCCACCAAATATCTTTCCATTTCCGTCATCATACAAGCCCATGAGCCCATAAAACATTGTCCAGCTTCGGCTACGTTTCCGTAAAGATCATAAACATATCAAAATTTAAGGTATCATTACTGTATAAACGAAAAACAAAATACACCAACATTTAGAGTAATTATCGAACTGTCTTTATGCCAAATTTGAATGCTTATAGTTAAGCCTTTTTTTAACTTTCATCCTCGAAAGACCATCACCATCAAACTGTTAGTGAACGATTTAAGAACCCAGACAATTGGTCATAGTGAACGATTTCATTTTCTGTTGCTGAACGATTTACGGTCAACCTAAACTCGTCATCCAATTTGCTATACAGCATTACCACTAACTATCAAGTATTCTATTCTTCAGATGTGATGTTTAAACGACAGAAATGTAACCATATCACTGCTACTACTGTTCTGAACATCTTCGAGACTTCAGTAGGGTGATATATCGCTGTATTGACATTTACAGGGAGAAAACAATTATCATTGTATTCCCTGCAGTAGCAACATGACAAGGTAACCGGCAATAGACGATGTCGTGTTGGCAAGTGGCAAGAAATGATATTGTATGATTCTACAAATACATAAAACAAATCAGTGGGTAATTCATAGTTTTCAGTGCCTGTAGGATCCATCAGTGATTTGAAATGATTGCGATCTTAATTGGATATATTTGCTGAAATATAACTGGTATGCACTTATGGAAGTAAAAATACCTTTGGAACTACTTGCCAAGGAAAGTCTAAAGGGTCTGATCATAACATGATGAATTTTCATGGAGAAGCATGTACAATGTGATTAAACTTTACGCACAAATTGTATTATTTGTACAAAATCGATGACATCCCTTCCCTTTCCATAATTTTTAAGCAACTTTAATATTAATGTACAAAATTGATTTCCCCTGCCTCCCAAGAAAAATCCCCCTCTCTAGCCATATTATGCACGAGGTTCATAATCAAGATTATTATTTGTATTTCCTGCTGGTATGAATCAGGTGATATAAATGTCGAAAAACAAACGTGGCTTCCTCAAGACTTTTATTTTTTTGTTCTGGGTCCGTGTAAATAAGATTAATCTATATGTTCGGCAGAAGCCTTCGGTTTCATGATTCGACCATTTTGGTCATCCAAATATGTATTTCGACAATATTAAGAATGAATATTATAACATTGTTGACCAGTATATTTTGATATCAATATTTGACCATTTTTGGCATATATGTCGGAACTTTTAGTTGTGTTTTCCTAATATTTTGATCAATATTTGCACTGATGAGATTGTTCTAATCAAACAACAATTGATCCTGATTGTAATACTCTGGGGGGTGGAACACTTGGACTTGAAATTGTCTGTCCCTTGATAAATTTTGATTATATGACCTTCCGGTTGGAAGTTGATATCTGTAATCTGATGGCGGTCACAACTACGACCCCACGAAAGTAATACACTAAACATCATGTATTGTCAGTCAGTTGTGCTACACGTTTACATGAAAGCGTCTTGTTAGTGCTTCCTTTAAGATTTACATTTGGGTAAATTGATTCTTGTCTCAGAAGTTTACTTCAAATTCAGGTATCAGTTCCCTTGTTTGCAAATTTCAAATTCAGTAACATTTAAGTCAGTGGAGTTTGTTTCTGGTTTCGCCAAACGTTTCAAAGCAACACCAAGAACATTACTGTGAAGTTGATACTGATGGCGCTTTCTGAAGATCCACTTCTCAGCATACGTCGTTGGTCTCCAATTGGTTTAATGTCTTGCACTGACACAGAGTACAGTCTTGTTCTTACTTTGCACAGTCCCTGTGATTTCTGATTGAGGGGTAACAAATGAATAGTATAATTTGGCATAGACGTTGGCGTTTTTATTGTCGAACCAAATGAATTCATATCACAGCGTAACGCACTGTCTTTGTGCTGATGTCTTTCATATATGTGCCGTTCCTGTTGTCGCCAACCATGATATTGATGGAGTATTGCTGAAAACAGCGTAAATCCATACTTACTCACTTGTATATAAAGATGCATGAACAGACTTGCTTGACAATCTACACAAATATTACAACGGAGATGTTGGTTCTAAATAATGTTTTATTATATACAGTCAGAAGCTTTGGAACTTGGCGTGATGTGTGCAACACAGGAAAGATGCATTGTACGTCAATGCCACTTGTCAGCCATTACTTGATTCCTTTCTCATATTGACTTCCTGAGATTTTAGGAGAACAAACCAATCGACAAGATCCTTTCCCAAGATGTTTACCATATCATTATCTGCTTCTAGAGCATGCAGTGCCTCTGACAGAGAGGACGGTAGAGCTGTAGCTGAGGGTAGATTGTCAGATGTTAGTTCAGGACGAGGAGGAGGACAATCTAGTCCTTTGAGGACGCCGTCCAAGCCAGCAGCTATAGTGGCTGCTAGTGTCAGGTAAGGATTGGTCATGCCACTTGGGATGCGGTTCTCCAGGTAGACCCCGCGGTTTTCATTATCTACCTTGACTTTCACAGAAGACAGACGGTTGTCAAAGTCCCAGTCAATTGTCCCTGGTTTCCTAGGAAGATGTAGCCGTTTGTAACAGTTCTCTGTAGGGCACCAAAAGGCGGTTAATGCTCTTGCATGTTTCATCAGTCCAGCAAGCCAGCATCTTCCAAAATCTGACAATCCATTTGGGCAAGTTCGGATCACTAAAAACATTCTCACCTTTTTGGACAGACCAAACAGAATGGTTTAAATGCATTCCAACTTCCCCTGTTGGCTGCTTGGACGTCATGTCCACTCGATAGTCCTCCTTATCGGCAATTTCGTGAATGCAATTTCGAAATTTAAATGCCGAATCTGCAGCTTTGATGCCAAAGGAGGCTTTGATGACAGCCTCAAAGAGACCAGCATTCCATTCACAGTGGAAGTTTTCAATATCCACGTCAGCATGATGCATTCCATTTTCAAGAGCAAAGAGAAAGCGGCTGTGTTTTGAGTGAAGTCTGTGACTCATATGGTTGAGGCCTGACACGGGACTGTTGTGTACATCATACAACATATATTCCATTTCAAAACCTGACAGCATTTTGTATCCGTGGTCCGACAAACGTTGAAGTTGCTTCTTGGCCACATACCGAGGACAAACATTAAACGGCGTTCTGTCCTTTAACCAGTAGCCTTCACAGATGACCTCAGCAACCTTGAACTTCTCATCACCATCCCACGTGACGGCGTTCAAAGTTGAAAGGTCAGGGATACCAATTATGCATATGTTGTTTCTATCGATCAGGTTTGTATGCACCTTTCCAAGCCATTCTCCAAGCATGAGCGCATCTGAAACAGGTATTGTAAAGAATCAGTACTTTATAGTGACCCCGTTAACAGTAACCTTGGTTACTGCATCCCATCAACCTATCACCTTCACCTCAGTAGAATAATACACTATGGCAACACACCATAACAGAACACTACATCAACCATCTTGTTTGTACAGGCCTCGGCCAAGGGCTTCATCCCTACCCCAACCTGTTTGCTGTGCATGGAAGATGCTACAGTCGCACTTCGGAATAATATTTACAATACATTTCACGAACTGTTTGATTGGCGTTTTGTAAGTTGGTGAGTAGCAGATAAATTTCATGTATACCAACTTCTTTCATTTTGTGAGTGTAATCACTCTCACCGTTTTATTGATATTTTAAATATTCCTTTAAATATTTTACTAACAAGAAAACTTGCACGTTTGAGAAGAAGGTGGCCAATTTTGCTGTTCATTGGCTGTAGATATTTTATTTGTGTGTAATAAAAGTTAGGTCGGTATCTGGTTCTTCAATCTCCATGTACTGAATACACATGCTATTCATCTACGTGGTAATAGTTGCAGTGTTGCTGCACTGATGTAACAATATCTCTGTGTTTGGAATGTCTATGTAACTGTGTTTGGAATGTCTATCTAACTGTGTTTGGAATGTCTATGTAACTGTGTATTAAGGCTAACGTTTTCCTCATTTGAACTTATGTAACACTCACGTAAACATATAGACTGGACACCCATCTCTAACAGGGAACTGGTATGTGGCGATTGTGAACATTTGGTACCAACCAACCATTCGTGACAATACAAGTTAGCAGAGCTATCTTACGACAGTAAAGAGGGTTTTATCGTTTCTATTTACATCGGTATTGTCTGTATTTTAAGTTAAATATCCGAAAGTGATTTGACATATGAACTTCTCAATTTACTAAACGCCCATGAAGATCCTGATTAGAACAGGCCTCCAGTAACCCATTCTTGTCGTAAGATGTGGGAATGTTGGGGTCGCCTAGTGGGTAAAGCGTTCGCTCGTCACGCTGAAGACCTGGGTTCGATTCCACACATGGGTACAATGTGTGAAGCCAAATTCTGGTGTCCCCCGCCGTGATATTGCGGAATATTGCTAAAAGCGGCGTAAAACTATATTCACTCACTCGTAAGATGCGACAGACGGTTTGCCGAGTTGGTTTGTATCCGAAATGCGTAGATCGATGTCAATAATATCAATCACGGGATTGCCTGGTCCAGATTGAATTGTTTACATATCACAGTCATATAGCTTGACTATTGACGAATGCGGCGTTAGCAACAAGAACACCTCATCAAGCTATATTTCTAATACAGCGACGGGAAAATTGAGGAAAAATGTCTGTGCACTCACCAACTCCAATAGTAACACCAGTCTTCAGACAACGCTGCACATGACGACGAGGGACAACTCTACCTCTCGACCGCCCGTGGATATCGGGAAATGTGAACCGCACGTAGTCGTACGAAGCTGTCGTCTTCGCCATGTTGCTGTTGACACTGTGTCAACCTAAAAATACAAGTTATCGTAATTGTGTGTGTATATAAACAATCACATCTCAATGAAAACGAAATCTTGATTGAAAGTACCTTGAATATTATGCAAATTTGATAATAAACGTACAGCGACTGGACGGTAAATTCGAATAGCATTTTAAATTAAAGTAAGATGATTTCATTGTTCAAATAGAGCAGCACAGTTAGGCGGGTTTTAAGCAAATTTTAACGAAATGACAAGGTAACAATAAAAGTGTCTTACCTTCAAAACCAAACAGAGAGCATCTCAGGCAAAGCAGGAATAACTAAGTGGCGAGTTACCCCTGTGTTTATACCTTAGGCCCCATGCTGGTCATACTATACAAGTTTGATCATGCAAGTTGGATATTATGCAAGTGTGATAAGGTTGGATAACCAAGGAAAGAAAAAGGTTAATTAACAGCCGATCATAAATGCTGCAGTTGTTACAGTTCGTGTTCATTTCCTTTGTTAATCGTTGTGGTTTAGCCAGCCGTGACTAGAGCGTCAAAGTCCCTAAGCCGATAAGCGTCGTGTGTTTGGGACACAAAAACAGGGACCAAGCATTTAATAATCTCCCAGAGTCGCTTGTCCGGTCGCTGAGAATGATTCTGCCGGTTCTAACAATGATGTAACATAAATGGATAGAGGATGTAAAAGTATAAGGTAATAGAATATATTTGGACAATAATTGCTTGATTAGTAATCTAGTTGTTGGTTAGTCAAAATGAAACATACGACTTTATGGATGACAACTTCTTGTTTATTGCACAGAGCGACGTTTCGATGTAGATTCTTACATCGTTATCAAGCTAAAAGTGACTACAACCAAGTGATGAGAAGAATATGTACATAGTATATTTTGACAAACAGCACATTAACATAGTATGGATTCTAGGTTGATCCAGGCTGGAGATGCGCTGACGGAGGATTTGCAAGACCATCTCGGAACCCCACCAGTTCAAACCCAAACTGACCTGTCACCATCAGAATTACCCTACCCTACATTGGCAAGACCTCTCATCAAATAAGCAGACTACTAATTGTATCGCATTAAAAATATTTAACATTGTATTAAAATGTTGTTTGACTAGGCCTATATCACGTCCCTTTGACACGATATGGATGCTGATGGTTGAGAGAGGGATATAGTGTTTGGAGTTGTGATGGTCTGAGATGTATATAGTTTCTTTGCCTCTAGGTAAGACGTGTTTTTTTGCATTTCAGTTTTATTATTTTGGATTCCTTTTGCCCCTAATCAAGATTTGGATTATACAGGATGTGTGCCATCAGTTCCTGCACTCGAAATCTTTCTTACAGCGAGTGGCCTCTTGGCTGTCACCACAATGGTGACAAATCTCAAAGTTGCGACAAGAGTTGGAACCATGGCCGAACTGTTGACATTTGTAGCATTGGAGAAGATCGGGGACATATACATCCACTCCAATAGTGAAATAGCCTGCTTTAACCCCCTGGCTGCCGAGTTTTTTTTCAGGCGCACATTTTCATACGCTTTGAAAAGTGAACGTTGTGCGAGAATTGCTCTCGCGTGGTCCTGGATCTACGTAAGGCTATAAAATTACACAGAAATGTGGAATATTAAATTTCCTATCCGTTGGTATAAATATAAGTGCAACTACCTTGGCGGTTTGAGAAATAGACATTGCTAAATGTTGTCCAAATTTTTGTTATGCGTTAAAAAACAGTAAATTTCTCCGCTTTTTATCGCGCACCGATAAAAGCACTGTGCTACGAATTTTTTAATGGGGCATCTTTACGGAAAGTGTGAGCGAAGAAAATACAGCCTGAGATCTGAACGACATAAGTGTATATGAATTGGGTTTATGTGCTTGTGCATAACGTTATACGCTCAAGATTAAAAATGACTCGCAATAAATGTCAAAAATGTATTTTCTTCTATGACGTCAAACGACGACAGAGAGGTCATACACGTATAATGATAAGGGGGCATAACTCCGTTATGCGTAACACTAGGTCAATGTAACCCAGATCACTTGGAGAGAATTTGTCGTGGATACGGACGCTATATTTTCGTTATTTTATATTCATGATGAACAACACTATTCCAATTCAAAATTCCCCAATGTGAACGGATGCGCTTTGGTAGTTTCACAATTTATAAGAAAAGATGACAACGTATTACATGTGAAAGCACGTAATAGCGATTTGAATGGCCCTATCCGATATATAAGTTAGTTCTTAGATTCCCATATTCTCCCGTTTGTGTAGATGTAATTTGACTAATTTTGCATCGTTATTACCAGAGTACTAGCCATATCTTCAAATGTAACGAAATTGCTGAAAATAATACAACATTTTAGTTGACGTCATCGCTTGTTTTATGCATTTTGCGACGTCGGAAAAAGACGACATTGGTATGCTGATTAGTATATATCTCACTTAATTTCCATTAATTGTATAAAAGGTCTAGACTTCTATGTCAGAATTTAACACTCTTTAGACAAAACATAAAATGACTGATTTTTCCATTTAAATAGTGTCCTGAATATATCAACAATTACACGGTTTGACAGTGTATCTTATTGTGAACAACACGCGCACCTGTTTGGCATCAATTAAACGTAAATAAAAATAATATTTCACAACACCCGAATATTTTGTTTGGGATAAGAATATTTTGTTTGTTTATGATTATGAAGCTATTTCTCTTCATACGTATGCAATGAAAGATGCAAAAGATAGCTTTTATATATGGAACTATATATTAGAATATGGATATAAGATTTGTCCGAATTAACACATGAGATGGTATATATATTTTTCAACAATTTTCCTATAAGTAGTTAGAGTTTGATATCCTGTCATCACAATATTATTTAATCGAATATGAATTGAATATATTATCGAAAACAATGATAGAGAATCATAAAACGTTTTCAACAAACGCGCACCTTGCCGATCTAATATATGCATCATTCTTTGTCTATAAAACGACACAAAATTATGCAATGAACAAGACAATTCCTTTAAATATGTGTGCATGTACATTTCATACCATATATAAATCATTGTCATTAATATTATCAGTTTTGCATATAAGGTTGAATTATATCACTGTTCATTAACCTGTCCATATGAAATTGCAATATTAGTCCAAATAAATTGAATATTGTACATCATAAGAACTAAAGTAGTTGCAGTTATGGCTACATTTGATCTTCTAACACTTGTGTAAAGATTTAGAGTATGGTGTATTGCAATAAATATGTCAATTTCTTATGTAAATATGATTCAAACAATCAAAAACTTTCAAAGAATAAAACACCGTAAACCCTATATGCACGTATGATATGATATTGAACAAGGCTAAATGTAGATACTGAAGTCAGTTTCATGAAAAAGTATCCGAACTATCCGCAAAATATACATCATAATACTGACAGTGTAATCGGAAGGATATGGCGATTGTGTTTACTCTTGTTCAACCGACCTTCACCTCAAAGAAATTGCCTAATATGTAGAACAATGTTGACGTATGACATCACTACCGCTGACCGATTTCTTACAAAATGGCGGCTTTGCTGACAAGGGTACACAGGATTTTGCGAGGACCCTTCCACTGATTCAGGGATCGTTTGTACATAAATATGAGATGTAAGTAATCAGAATGATTCTGACTATCTGTGTATTGTTATATGTTTTTATCGTTTTCACTACACGTAAGAGAAAAGGACAGAAATGCAGATAATTACCGTTGTCGTTCTGCGTCAGTCATGGCGTCACGCTGCACGGAAACTTTGACAATTTCTTATGAATTATCAAATCATTGCATTGTATCTATTTATAATTTCCTATTTCTTGCTACGATACTCTTTCCATGTATATTCTAAAGGTATTGAGCCATTGCAAGCAATGAATAGACGGATGAATGTTGAAAAATTTCAGAAAATGCTACGCAGTGTAAAATCGGAATTTGTCTTTGTTTACATTTCGAACCAGCGCAGTCTTTCGAGCACAGCGTTCGTTTTCACTCCCAAATATGTTTCGTCTCATTTTATCTGGACAGTTGGTATTGGTGACACAGACCAGTTTCAGATTGATTCTAAAATGTATGGGGAATTCAGTGATGCATTTTTCGAAGCTGAATATCAAATATACGTGATGTAATAGGCGTCTCAATACCGGCCTTCGCGAAACGTGATTTTGTAAACACTATCCAATATGGCGGAAAGCGCTCTACGGTGTTCGTGTAAGTGCATTTTCGAAAACATCCCAACCGATTCTAGATTCATCGGCAACGTTTCAGAATTATAATTAGCGAAATCATGTAAAACTGATATCAGTGATCATAAATATGTTATTTTTGAAATTCAATACTCACAGTAATTATCCGATTTTCACATTTCAAAACATACAGCAAATAACGCTGTGAATCGCGATTTCATACTGTGTCAAAAATGTCGCCATTTTCGATGAAGCCTATTTTGAAAGGTCATTTTCAGCACTTGAGCTTTGTCTAAAATAATGGTGGATGGTATCAAGAAACAGGACATTTCCCGCAGAATTCGAAACTGTGAAGTGTATTTGTGTGCGTGGGATACTTTGAGTTTTATTCGACTTCAAATTGAGGGTTGAAGGGGAAGGACATATATGTCCCTGTGGCATCCAGGGGGTTAATTGATTTTCTAAGATGCCTAGCGGTTAGAACAATCGAAAAAAAAATACATTATCAGACAATAAAGGTATAGTTTTTTGATGACGTAACAATTGAATGACGTTTTCCCGTCACTGCGCCATTCTAGTGTGCCCCCTCGTAATCGAACCATTTTACATTACGTCACAATGTAAGCGACGTCACGATGCATGTCAGTTGTCATCGCCTCGTACGGCTTCCTACAGTAAACTACACCGTTGCATCCAGTTTCTGGGTTTGCTGTTGCTTCACGCAGCTAACATCACTGGTGGAAACATTACGTTTATGTTTTACGAC